GAAAGAATCAAACTGGGAGTCCGGGAGTTGAGGAATCGAAAGAATCAAAGGAATCGCAGAGTTGATGAGTCGCCAAAAGAATTGAAGAGTCGAAATCCGACTCCGGGAGTTGAGGAATCGAAGGAATCAAAAGAATCGAAGAGTTGAAATCCGACTCCGGGAGTTGAAGATTTTCTTAGAAGAATCAAAAAGAGTTGTTACAGGAAAAAGAATCGTCCGGAAACGTGTGACATATCCGTTCCTCTCCAGTTACCCGAACTGAACCGCAACTCACTTAAAGGAATCAATTGGGGGATCGATTCTTTTAGATGAGTCGATTCTTTGAATCGATTCTCGATTCTTTTGCCCATCTCTACCCCAGTTGAGGTAGCTGGACTATCGTCACCGGAGGTAAGTGTTTTTTTCCTCTTTATTTTATAATTCATTTTATTTTAGTTTAATTTTAAACCCATACAGTCCACTTGATCAGATATTTTGTGGTCCTCCGGGCCGGAGACTACTAAAACATTAATAAATATTCAAATTTGAAAAATACCACAATATTTGGCTTTTTAAAACAAAGTATAATTAGGAATGCTTTTTAGTTTAATCCTAGCTTAAATTTTAATAAAAGTTTATTATTGCTTTGAACTCATACGTATGCATATTTTTTCTATTATGTAGGTATTCTTTGGCATAAAACATGATTAGGGTTTTATTGGATTGCTGGTGCTTGTGCATAGAACATTAATTAGTTATCATGACGTGGTGAATTTTTTGGATTTTAAATTAAATTTGAAAAGACAGGTCATTAAAGGATTAGTTACAGGGAATAAATCGAAATCGCATGAAATGTAAGTTTAATGTTCTGAGTTTTTATGAACATATTTTATTTGGATGTTGATGTGTCTAATTCGTTTGTTGAAACATGTTGTCCAAGAGTTTTCCAGAATTGGCATTGTTCCTCCCTGTGCTTTGATCCTTCTTCAAGTTTTTCGGCAAGCTTTAAGTACTTCTTTTGTGTGGTGTCGTATTTCGGCCATGTAACAGTTGTCTTTTGGTTTTTGTCATCTTTGTTGGGATCCCTAAAAACATAAACATTAATGAATAATTTACTAACTTTTTCAAAAACTCAACGGTCGTGCCGTTTAATAAAATTAAAACATTTATGAAATGTATATTTTAGTATTATAGAAAAATATGTGATGGAGAATTAGAATTACCCTGTTCTGGCGAAGTTAGCCCAGTACTTCATCATTTCCTTGCTGAGTTTTTTGTCTTCCTCACTGTACCCCTTGGTTGTATTGAGCGGCTCACCGAAGACGTAGTAGATTTCTTCTCCGTGCATGCCACCAGTCCATTTAGGCCATGGTGATACATTGGAAATACGGTCGAACAGATAAACATACACATCCTGTTGTAATCCAGCATAAACGTCAGCAAATTGGTTGACGGAGCATGTAGTGTTAGAGTCGCCGACCATTTTATCAAGAGCGTCTTTGTAATCATTTGACTTGTCTGCGCCCTGCCAAGTTTTATATTTATCTTTAATCTGCTTACGATTGTCTTCTGTCAAGTAAGGGTAGATTTTCTCGACCGCATCCTTGTATTGTTCCTCGTTGACGGTAGTTTGTTCTTCTTTTTTAAGCACATCTTTCAGGAAATATAGAAGAAAGTAAATACCTTCTTCCTTGTTGCTCCCCATGATTACACCAGTCTTTTTAAATTTGTTGTCTCCCGACGATTCACCTTTCTTGAAAAACGGTTGTTGACTGTCAACAACGGGAACGAACGGAAACTCGTACACGCCGGATGGTTTTGTTTCCATTTCCCACTCCTTGTACACCATTTGGGTGGCGTTAGCTGTCCGAAGACAATTCATATCGTGTTGGTTGTCGTTTTTTGTACATTTCATTTGCTTGGCAAGATCTAATCCACGTTTCTTGTTTTCTTCTTTCGACATGAGCGTCCACGGTGTAAAGGCAGTGCCCGATTCCAAAATGGCATTATTAAATAAGCTATGGCTCTCAGGAGCCATGAGATGTAAGCCGATTGAACTAGCACCAGAACTCATTCCAAACAATGTTATTTTGTTCGGATCTCCCCCGAAGTTCTGGATGTTGTCCTTCACCCATTTCATGGCCATCCGTTGGTCGAACAAGCCCATATTACCAGGTGCTTCTTCCGTTCCTAGGTAAAGAAAACCAAGAGAAGCTACCCTATGCTGTATAGATACTACTATCACGTTTTCTTCTGAAGCGAGCGTTTTTGGATCGTAGACGTCCAACGTTGCCGATCCGCAGTAGAAGCCTCCTCCAAATATATACAACATGACTGGGGCCTTGTTGTTCGATGTCGGTCGAGGTTTAGGTACTATCACATTCAGATAGAGGCAGTCTTCCGAAAGATCAGTGTTTGCATTCCACATGTTCGATCCGGGAAAATCGCCGAATGTCGTATCAATGGTCTGCACGCAACTATTCGGCTGACGTGTCGCTTGTTTAGTGTCGTCCCATTTCTCCGGAGGCTGCGGCAATTTAAATCTCAGATTACCTACAATGCCAAATTAAACTATTAACATTTTAAACTAATAAAGATAAGGAATTGTGAAAAACATTGCAACAAAATTTAATGTTTAGATTATTTGGAGATCGTGGGATGCGGTCTGGTGTGATGTAGGTTTTAGAAAACAATTTATTTATCGAATGAGATCTCAGACCGCATCTGACGTTCTCCAAATAATCATTAACTATCGGTCACCAAACACCACACGTTTAATGTTTAGCTTGAAACATTGGTTGTCCAACGAGATAAATTTACTCTCACCCTTTCTCGCAGCAAATTTCAAAATGCATTTGGTTCATCTTACCAGTAGGCGGCTTCGCAAAAGGGATTCCCAGCCAAGCGTCTACATCTTTGCCAGTGGCTGATTTGAGCGTGACGCCTTGAACTTTCCCTTTGTCAGTGTCAACAACAAGGTTGTCCTCGGATGACGAACTACCCACGCTGATCAGCAAAGTAGACACTAACAACCACCACATCTCTTCTAAACAACATGAAATATTAATGAAAAAGTTTTTCCAACCTTTAATATAATACGATAGATCCTAACCCAGAATTCCTGTCTAATATAAAATCATCAACGTTTCCAAAAAATAGAAACTTAAGAACGCAATATTTTAAGATTACTCTCTCACAATTCAAATTATGCGACCAGCATTCAAAAATTTCGTTCATAAACACATTGGTAGTTTTTTAAATACAGAAAAATATAATAATATCTTACATTTGTGCTGTGACGAAAATTGATGAAACGAAAGGTTGTTAAGTAGTAGAATCGTTCAAAATTGAAATATGTAGACTGTTAGAAAATTATCAAATCCCCTCTGTATATATACTAACGTTTTGGGTAGTGGGAATTAAAGTAAGCAAACATTTTTTGTCCGATCAACTGTTCTAACATTTGCTCAAACCTGAGTTTTCAGCAAATAGTGCAATTTTTAGAAACAAGAAACAGTATAATTGAGACAAATATCATGGAAATTTGAAACAAACCAATCGTTTTTAATAATCCCAATATATTTGTAATTTTGCGTCGCTATTTTCATTCTGTTTGAAAATTAATCACTTAACTGAAACGATTAACTTATTACTGATTTATAAAATCTCAAATCTGCACACGCATGTACATTGAGCTTAACACTTCTCACATTCCACCGGCAATTCCAGTTTTTATAATTTACAATAAATTACCTGCGCCCTAGCGAATCACTCTCCATCACCGTTTATACGGTTACACTCAGGAGATTTGGACCAAAAGTATTTACTTAGTCCAAACAAGCGTCAACCTCGCATGACCTGCCCTAGATTAAATGTGAAATGATGTAATCGGGTGAGGATGACGCTTCTTCTACTTGGTGGACCTTTCTATCCACCGAGGTCACCCTCCCTTTGACTCTACTCATGCTACGCGAGTACTTCTCTGCTGATCAGGCCCGACAAAGCTCGCAATTTCCCTTAATCATACTTTTTATTGCATTTTTATCGTTACAGGGCCGGATCGCGGAGAAAGTCCGGAGATTGGGACATCACGGAGTTAGAAACTTCGTCGGCCTCCAGACCTATGCCAACGGAGACAACCACCATTTTACCAAAACCCTCGTTACTATTAATTAATTTCTACAAATTTCCTTACTCTAACCATATTATTTATTCTCTTAAAATGCATCTAATCAATTACTTAGCTAATTAAATATGTGTGCCTTATATATCTGTAGAAAATACAAAATTCAGCTAATAATTGTAGAATTAATTTATAATAATTATCCTAATGGTATTACTAATGTAACGGTAGTGATTGTTATATATTTCGTACATTACTGCACATTTTCAACGAAATCTGAAACAAAATCGAGCTTGTGTTAGGATCATATTCACATGTTCACGTTTTTTGTTCTAATTTCAAACTTTTAAATAAGCCGTGATGCATTTACAAGTTGAAACATGAATATTTTCTTAAGGGGCTTTACGTTTTGTTGCGCTCGTGAAGCATAAATGAAGCACATCGAGCCTGATGCTGCATTGCACCAAATTTCCCAGCATTCATAAAAATCTCTTTAGATGAAGAAATTATATTTTAATGAATACTACTTGTCAATACTTGCGAATTTTATTTGGTCGTATTGAATGATCATTGTTGTATGAATCTCAGGAAGATATTAAAATATAGAATTATTGAACGAAGCACACGTAATTCACTTTAGAACATGAAAACATCGTGGTTTATAAACACAATATATGCCGAAGTCGAGAATGGTATTTATGTATGGTGGAAGGTTCTATACCGACTTTCTTCCCCTCGCCTTCAAAATCCAACATATGTAAACATAAAACAGCAACATCTCACTGGCACTCTCAACCCGACACGCTAAAAAGGCACATCTAAACAGAAGACAAACACTTTGAGCCCTGAAGATGATCTCAATAAAAATCGAAACGTTGGCACGACAAAGAAAATATTTTTCTGAGACCTACATCACACCAGACCGCGTCTCACGATTTCTGAATAATTATCGATTAACGGTAACTGATCACCACACATAAAAAATGTAGTTAGATTTGAACCTCCAACTTCGAGACCAGAGGCGGGACTTAGCCACTTGGTCTAAAATGCCTTACTCTTATACACGCAAATTAAATTTAATGGTTTATGACGGTAATACTCGGTCGCCAAAGCGCCCTTCCACTGGCGACATGGTTGAGGAGGAGAGGAACTTCAAACTTCTGCCTGTTGGGTTTCCGCTGGGCTGTGAAAGGGTAGTTCTTTTGGACGGCCTGATTTTTGTAATATAAAGCAAAGTGCATTTGATTTAAAAAACTGAAAATTTCCGTTACGGTGTTCTTCACTTGTCAGTGTTCATCATTAAATGTTTTTTTTATTATTTGCTGTCGTACTTGAAAACGAGGTTTTTCAAAAATGAAAACACATTTTCTTCATTATTTTTCAATTAAACATAACTTATTAAACCTATTGATTACCTATTGTTTGATTTGTAATTTATTAGTTTACTTTTTTAATGCGTTTAACATTCTTTCTTTGCAATTAATTAAGGTTTTTAGTTGAGATAAAAAAAGTCAATGGCACGGGCGGGATTCGAACCCTGATCTTCGGCTTGATTCGCCGCTGCTCTACCACCTGAGCTATCGTGACCTCGATCCACTCGGACACCAACTTCCCATCTCGACCGCAAGTGGTAGAGCAGCGGCGTATCAAGCCGAAGATCGTGTGTTCGAATCCCGCTCGTGCCATTGACTTTTTTATCTCAACTAAAAACCTTAATTAATTGTAATATATTAATTGGTCAAGCGGACCACGAAATTAGTGAATTCTTTCTTTATTTTGTACAAAAAAAATGGTCTTTGTTTTTTCACCAAACAAGACTGTATTGACTGGTAAAAGGAAATATTTTTATCCGTTTAACTCAAAATTTTGTTTCCTTAATTGTTTGCGTTTATTCAACCTTCTTTCCATTCATTAACGTAAATTTTACTATAATACGCTTTTGGTGCAAAAATGAATTCGTTGACGACTGTTTCATTCTAACTTGCATAAAACAATTTAAAAGGAGAAAACTACCTTGAGCTCCTTGGAGAAATTATTTGCCAGTTGACGGTGTACCGATCGCTTTCAAACAACCTGGAAGATTTAAAGGAAACGATCAAAAGGTGTTGTAGAAGCATAACACCAGTTACTTTTCGCGAAGTGCGAAATGAATTGGAAAGAGGATTTTATTTTGTATGGAGATCGGTGGTGCCCATTTTGAAAATTATTTTACTAGGATTAACTTGATAAAGTTACTAGGAGGTAATTGAATTAGTAATTGATAATTAACTTAAAGTTACTAGAAAGTAAATGAATGACGATTGAGATAAATAAAATTTGAACTTTTTTTTAAATCTTAAGAACTCTTATACGACAAACTCTAAATAAAAAGCTCTCGAAGTAAAATCTTCTTAAAAAAAAGTCGTAGAATTTAATTCTGTATTCAAAACGATAACGTCTCATTTGAAAAAAAAAAGTTGGTAAGCCCTGGGGACGTATCATACGTCCAAAACAAAATTTTGAGTTCAGATGTAAGATGCTACGTAAAAAATGATGACCAGTCTTATTTTTTGTCGTTATTTCCAAACAAAAGAAATAAAAGGGGGATTGTTTATAAATAATCTCTCGGTGTATAGGTGGGCGCAACGGTTTAGGCGTTGACTCGGCGCTCATCAGTGTATGGTAAAGGTCCTGAGTTCGAATCCAGCGGCCCTGCATTCCAACCCGACTGGGCTTTTTTTAAAAATAAATACCGGCACCCTCGTCGAAAAAAAAAATGGTCTGTACACTAATTCTAATATATCCTAAATATTGGGTTGTCCGGAAAATAATGCAGGATTTTGGTATTAAACAAAAAAAAAGAAACTAGTTACTTTAAAGCAATGTTCTTTAATCAAAATAATTTCCCANGTAATCCTGTAAACGTAAACAGAATATTTTATATAGATTTTTTTTAATGAAAACTTAAAATCCTGCATTATTTTCCGGACAACCCGATATATTACAAACTCTTTATTTAGAATTAAATATATGAAAATATTATTAAACCACCAATACAATTTTTTAAAATTTCGTCTTTTCTCTTGGGCTAATTAGAATCTTTTAAGCCTGAGCTATCGTGACTTCGATCCCCTCGGACTCCAACTCATCTCAACCTACAATCTTTCGAATTTTCCCTATTTTTGCCATTTTTCAAACATATAACAAATTAAATGTCCTTCGAGTATATAAATCATAACGTGTCATATTGACCATGAGCATTCGCTAGAAGGTTTGAGGCTTTAGTGACACAGCTGTTCTAATATTTGATAAATCTGGTTTACGTCATCGACCACTTCATGGAAGACAAAGAAGAGAACATTAAGAATACATTTTTTATGGCCATTGCTGTAAATCCGTTATTTTTAAAATTATTCATCCTATTATTACATAATTATTTGAGTAAAATAGGAAACAATTTGAGCTGTGCTAGGTAAGTCGATCGATATTGTTTAGTTCATGTTCATCTTTGCCAGACATGAGTACTTAGTGCTTTTTTATTCTAATTTCCAACTTTGGAAATAGCCTTCGCGTGATGCCCTTGCAGGTTGAAACATGGTAGATATTCTTAAAGGGCTTAACGTGTTGATGAGCCCATGAAGCATGAATGAACTACAGCGGGCCGGTCCTGCATTGCACCAAACCCATTTGTTTTCATAATAATCGAGAGAATTTGTACGAAGATAAGAGTCGAGAGCGAGAAAATTTGTATAAATTGATTGAACTTTTCACCACGACTTGTTAGTCTATTTTTATGCCAAATTATTGTAAATAGGCCACTTAGACAAAATTGTATTTGGCGGCTAGCGTATGGAACCGTAGGTATGGGATGATTTGTGGCCGAGCGACAAGTGTTGAAATGTATATTTCTTTTGGGGACGAAACAAAGTTTATATTCGTTTTTTTCATCCCCAAAATGAATAAATTTTTTCGGGATTATTAAAAAATATTTATATCGGCAATAACAGCACCACCGAACCACAGGAAATGTGACAGGGTTTTAGAATCTTATAAGGTACTCGTTACAGCACAAACCTCGGAAAATAAATTAACAACCAGAGTAATAGATAAATTGTTTGAGCCGTTTTGTATAAATTTAATCTTTATTTAAAACAACATAAAAACCTGTGACCTGTTGAGTTAGCATGAAAATGGGTATATCCTTCTTTAGAAAGGTTTTATAAACGTTCAATTTGTATAAAAGTCGAAAAAAATACTCCGTGCGATCCAGCACAAAAATAGCCTTTTTTAAA